CCTTCACCGTCGCGCTGTTGGCGGTGGTGATCGATTCGCGCCGGAATTCCGAGCCGGACAGCCAGGTCCGGCCGAAGAAATCGGTGTCGTTGGTGAATCCGGGTCCCCACCGGCCCGACCCGGATGAGAACCGCCCGTAGTTGATGAGGATGTAGTCGCTGGAGTTGCCGGGGTGGTCAAAGGGGTACGCGCGGGCGTCGATTTGGTACACCTCGAGGGAGCCAATGACCGGAGAATCGGTGGCGATGCTGTAGAAGCAGAGGTCCACGGCGTCGGTGTCGTGGTGGAAGAACAGATCCGAGTACGCGCCGGATCGAGAAATCTCCGCAGGCCAGGGGGATCTCCATGAAAACACCAGCGTAGCCCGGACGGAGACGTCGAAGGAGGGGGAGTGGGACTTGCCGTCGAAATTGTCGTAGACGGTGAACGTCCTGAGGAGGTAGCGGCCGGCGCCGGCGCCGGCGGGTAGGGGTATGGAGTAGCAGTTCTTCTTTCCGGAGGAGATGGGAAAGTGGCGGAGGGTCTTCTCCTGCTGTTGGACGAAGCGGAGGGGCTCGGAGACGACGGCGACGGAGCCGCCGGAGTAGAAGCGGTCGGAGAGCCAGGCGGTGTGGAAGGCGTCAGTGGAGTCGACGAGGCCGCCGCAGTCAATGTGTAAGCTGTAGTCTGCGAAGAACAGGGAAAACACAAAACGACAAAAGAGTGAGCTGTAGCCATTATCAGTTAGTGTGCGAAAACAGAGAAATTGTACTGCAGATGGTGGGCTTACTGAAAGGACTAGAGAGAGAAAGGCAGTAGGGGAGGAGAGAGAAAACGATGAAAAGGGGGAAGAGGGTCATCGCCAGTTACTGGTGATGAAGCTCGGTGTTAATGGCCGCTGCTTCTGTGTGTGTGTGTGTGTGTGTGTGTCAGTGTGTGTGTGTGTGTGTGTGTGTGTTTTTGTAAGAGAGGGAGAGAGAAGGGGGTGACAGGGGAGTAAACAAAATAAATGAGGGACAGATTTGGAATTTAGTGAGGGAACACAATAAATTGGATAGAATAAATTGAATCAAGAATATATATATATATGTGAATTTTTATTATTATTTTTTTATGGAAAAAGCTACTTGTACAACTTTTTTTGTACAACATTCAATGACAACATGATGTGGCATAATGTGGGTGGTTGAGATGCAATTAAATGTATGATTAAAATTTTAGTTAATGATACTTTTAACTAAGTTGTCAACCAATGTTGTAAACTACAATTGTACATATAGCATTGCCCTTTTTTTATTGTTGAATATTGTTAAAATGGAATATAGCAAAAATAATATATGCGTGATGATGATAAATGCAGCAACGTAGGAACTTATAACTTAAAAAATCTAGTGCTTTGGATCTTGTTGATGAGAATAATAATGTATGGGGACCGAGATGATTGGCTTTAGCAAATTGAATAAATTTGTTCTCTAGTATGGTATAAGTAAGTTTCTTTTAAAACGGGAAAGTTTACATTAGTATTGGTAGAAAAAATGATTTTATACTTATTTTACTATTTTAATTATCATAAATAGAGAGTTTATAAATTAACTCAAAACTATTTTAAAATATATAAAATATTTAATTCAAACAATTTAATCTTTGTAACTCAAAAATGAGTTAAATCAATTTAAAAGTTAGTTAGAATCGAAAAGGAATAAATTCGAGCATGTAGATTTTGAATTTGTCGCGTCAACAAAACTTGTATCAACCGCATAGCAAGCGACGAAATGAACCAGACACGCCCGCAACAGCTGGCAGCAGCTAACAACTCTGTCCAGCGAGAAGCCTATCGCGAGTGAGACAATTCTACCACCTACACGCACCTATTGATGCCGAAACATTAGTCGACTCATTTTTTGTCATTTTTTTACGCATCAAGCATGTCCCGAAATGTATATTTTCACCCTTACACTTCTTGTTGATGTCTGTCTACATCTATAAATATTCATATGATCAATATTCCTTGATATAATATATACAATTATATACTTTAACATACAATTACAAATTGAGAGAGAATATAAGATAGTTCATGTTCATTTTCTGTTCACTATTCATTCTTCATCTTTTGAAAGTTCCAAACACAATTAAGTCACCAAGATATTGGTATTTGAATTTTAAAGTGTCACTATACACAAGATAAAAAGTTGTTATATCTTGGACGATTATTGAATATTGTGAGAGTTGACGGTGACACTCTCGTCTTACAGATAGCGTTTTTCAGTTTCCTCAACTTTGTTTATTTAAATTATTTGTTCGAGGTTCATATTTGTTGTTTGAAAGGGACAATTCGTTGACATTCTTTATTCGTGTTATTTTTGTCATTCTTTAAAATACAAGTACATACGCATTGTTGACATCTGGCCTAGAGGATCTAATCAGAAGATGCCACATGTAAAGAGGATTTGTGAACGGGCAAAACGATGCTCGGGGGACCGGCTCGACCTAGCTCGGGACAAGTCGGAGGAGGGGCTTACCTATGTCGTCCAGTGAAAATGACTTTGGTAGCATGAAAAACGGACTTCCCTGTTGGACCGAGTTCGTAGAGACATTGATAAGGCACGTGTCATATATCAACCGTCCAGCGCACGCGCTGTAATCATCACCATCGGGCCCAAGTATATATGGTAGTTGTCCCTATGGGATCAACTCGCATTAAATGTCGTCGAACCAACCTCGATTGGCGAGCTGAAAATTACTATAAATAGCATAATTAAATATTGTACGAGCATCTTTTTCTGACACATTAAATTACATCATTTATTAACTCGATTATACCAAAAACCGACATCTTGTACTCAAAATCGACATCAAATTCTAAGAAAAACGTTCATTAACAACGTTCTTTATTGTTCAATCTTAACTATATGCATTGTTTAAATTCGTACAACAACACGCATTTATACAACGAGCATATTTACTAAATAAATAAGAACTAAAAATTTACACCTTAATTGAACAAAATAAATTAAATTCAAATTTTACCCAATAGGTATCATCTATTAAGTTTGGTTATTATAAGATCTCAAAGATAAATTCAAACCTTGAGACTTATAAAATGCCTACTTAGAGTTGTACTAAGATGTTCATGAGCTTGACTCGTTTCGAGCTCGAGCTCGAGCTAACTTGATAAATAGAGATATCGCTTAATTTTCTAAATTATTATCAATATTCGGTTTGTTGAGGCTCGCGAGCTTGAGCTCATTTGTCGTCTCCTCACGTCAACAAACCAAGTCGAAGTCAGTATAATAAGGGCTCGAAAGCTCTGTTGGGCTCGACTCGTTTATATGCCTAATTCAAACATGAACCATATTTTCAATTACACTAGTGAAAACAATAAAAAGAAAAAAATAAATGTGATTGGGTGCACTACTACTTAATAATATTTAGATAAAATTATAAGAAAAAACTACAATCCCGTCACGGAATGATTACGTGAGGGTTTTTAGATATACATTTATTGTAGATACATGGAAATTATATGTTTATCTAATGACAAAAAATTCTTATAGAATCATTCCGTGACCAGAATGTATCTTTTTCCGAAAATAAAATAAATAAAGTTATTTAAAAGTGACTTTTCATTATGAATATGAATAATTTATTGGAAGACTTGTTTTCGAACGTACTTCTACTATTTATTATTTGGATGTGATTATATTTGAAATTTTATGAACTCCAAGGCCAACAATTCACATTGTATGATGCAGCTCTCTGACCTTACTGCAAGGAAAAAATAAATAAATAATAAATAATGGTGAAATAAATTGGCATTTATGAATCCGAAAATAAAATATGAGGTCAATTGCTATGGGATGCGGAGTATAATTAAATGGGTGTTAAACTAGACTCAAGTTTATTATTTTCCTTCACATGTATCTATATATATTCTATTCTATAGTAATAAAAAAATTTAAATAATTAGTGAAGCAAGTAGCTAGGGCAACTTATATAAATCACAAAAAATGATGTCATTATGTCAATTATATTATATTTTGATAATATCAACACACGATATAACGCATAGTAGAAGAAGTTCGTAATGTTAAGCTCTATTTAATTTAAATTTCTATCTCACTTTGCCATGAAAATTTAATTTATTCAAATATATAATAAATCAAGATCTAAATTTTAGTCTATTGTATTTGATTTTGTATATACTATTTTTGTTGGCAATTAGCAGCACTTGAACTTGACGTGTTATTAGCAATTGTGCAAAAAAAGTCGATTCAAATTCGATACCCATTTCTATGGTTAATGTCTAGACGTGCTCACAGGCCAGGTCGTTCACGAACTGGGCTGGCCCGGTGGCCCAGAACTGACCCGGCCCTACGGGTCAAAAATGGATAAAACACGACCCTGAACCGGTCCTTAAGGAGTTCTGAATTGGTTCAAAAATCGGCTTTCCCAGTCCGGTTCACGGGGGCGGTTCTACCTTTGGCCAGTAATGTCTATTTTCAATTGATTAGAAAGATAGCGTTTGATTATTTTGTCTACTAGAATTTCTTGGACAAACTTGCTATATTATTTTTTTTTAATATATGGCACTATATTACATGCTTATTTTTACTATAAATTAATATGTTTGCTAGAGACAAACAACACTATAATTAACGACAACATCGAAAAAATTATTATTATTATTATTATTTTCAAAATATACTTTTGTGTTAGCAAAATTAAACTATCATATTGATGGTGCATTACACCTAATTTGTGTGCCCACACTGGGATTCATAGTCAGGTCGAATTTCAGTTATTAATATTCACATTGGGTCGAATTCTTATTTTTTATTTATTTTTTTTTTTTTTTGTCAGCAATTTCATTTATGTGAACTACATTTTCAACAATGAATTTGAAAAAAAAAAAATAATTGAAATACCGAATTAATTTTGTCACTTGACCTTTTTGCCTTTCAAATTTCTAAAAATATATGAACTCGAGGTGTAGTTTTCTGCATTCCCTTTATATTAATACAGAACGCGTTGAGCCTACGTGACTGCTTCTGGTCATCGAAATCCTATGTGCCAAAATTACATGTTTCGTTGTTAGGCTTGGGTAAATTTTAATTTAATTCCAAAACAAAAATAATTAGGTTCGGATTACCATAAATATGTTGATTATTTATAGTCATGTTACATGTATTAATTGTATTTTAATATCATTCCTTATTATAATTATTGAATTGTATATATATTTTAAAAGTTAATAACTTTTGTATATTTTATCAGTTTTACATATGTAATATATCAAATTAATCTTCTTTCGATGAGCTTCGATTTAACCCGTATTGTATGTATAAAAAAAATAATTTATATTTACCTTCATAACAACAATAAAATTATTTTTAATATTAATTAGAAAAATAAAATTATTTATCAACTAATACATTTATATTTTAAGTAGTTATATGATATAAGTTATAAAAACTAATATAATATAACACATATAAGTCATAAGTAACACATATCGTTCTAAAATATATAGTAATATATATTTTTTTTTCTAAAAAAGTAAACTAAATTTAATATAGTTTTCTCATTAATTTTAAAATTTAAGAATAATTTTTTAACAAGCATCCGTGTAATACAATGGTGTTGTACTAGTATATATTAATTTGTTGGATCTCCCATTTATTTATAGCATCCACAAAATAATAATAATAATAATAATAATAATAATAATAATAATAATAATAATAATAATAATAATAATAATAATAATAATAATAATAATACAGAATAAAAAAACTGCATTAAATTGCTTTTGACATTTGCGTGCTGTTTTCGGCAATACGGCCCTATTTTCCTGTGG